TGGAGGTGAACATCGATGGGGCCCCAGAGCTGGGGGACGTACTCAACACCAGGCTGGGAGAGGCCGTTGTCGCTAGAGTCCCAGTTGTATGCCCATGGGCAGTTGGTGCACTCATTGCCGTTGGTGAAGAAGTTCTTGACGAGGCTGGCGTCGTTGTAAGCGAAGCCACGCTTGCCACCAGAGGTGCCGGTAGAGCCAGAGCTGGTCTCCTTCTTGGGAGTGTCCTGGGCGCCCTCCTCCTTGGGGGAAGTCACGGGAGTAGCGACGACGGCAGTCTGGAGAGTAGTGGGGGGGACAACCGGGGCGGGGGGCTCAACGGCGGCGGGGGTCTGGACAACGACGTAGGTCGGGGTGGTGGTCAGGGGGTTCTGGGGAGCCGCATAGTCGGGGCTGGGAGCGGGCTGGCCAGGACCAGCAGTGACGGTGACCCACTCAGTGACAATCTCAACGTGAGTGTGGGCGTGCACAATGTCGCGCTCCTCGTGGGAGTGGCGGTGGGCGTTGAAGGCAACAGCCTCCTTGGCCAGGGCCAGGGAGGCAAGAGCGGTGACGGCCTGCTTGTTGAACATGGCGACGAGAGAAGTCGATGTCTGGGTTCGTGGGTTTAGTTGAAGGAGGTTGAGAGGTCTGGAAAAGGCGAGTTGGAGACTTGATATGGTTGTCTGGGTCTTGTATCAAGTCTTTTCCGAAGGAACAATGGACACCGTCAAGGTGAAGGAGTGTTGTTGTGTTTGCTTTTGTTGTGCTGGTCTATCAAAGACACAGAAAGGAAAGTGATGTCGAAGCTAGCGACAAGTAGAAGGAATGAGCTTGTAGCTGAGAAGGGAACGTCAAGCCGGTGATGTGGGTAAAGAAGGTCTTTCAAAAAGCCCGGAGAAGGGGGGGACGACGAGGGTTCTTAAAAAGAGAGCTGGAACAGACAAACAATGAATCAAGGGCTGAGGGTCAGCAGTGAATGTGTGGTGAGGTGGGTAGCCCTGACATTCACCATCAAGAGAGGGGACGCCAGGCTGGGCCTGATGGAGTCGTCACAACAGGAGGGTGGGTGGGGTGTGGGCCCCCCCTGCAGGGGCCAGACCTTCCCGCCTTCCTTCTCTTGGTGTCCCTTCCAGAGCGAGCGCCCTGGTTTCCCACTCCCACTGTACCTGCCACACTCACACCCGATGCAGGTACCACGGCACGGCCGGGGGGTCGTTTTGGTGCAGCGACGAGTCAATTGGCAGGAACGACGCAGCCTTTCGGGGAGGCACAAGGTCCACAAGCGAGGATATGGTACAGGTACATCCCGCTCGTATCTCTCCTTGCCCTTCTTGCTTGCCCTTGCAGGTTTTCGCACTGGAGGGATGGATAGTCTCGTCAGTCTGTCCAGTCTATCTAGTCTATCCAGTCTATCTACCTCTAGTCGCTTGCAAATACCTTTCTCCCATGCCCCTTGGCTTCGCACTTGCCCCTCTAGTCGTGCGGTCGCGCAGCCGCTCACAGAGGGCCAGGCGCTACCTGCGACACTCGCGCTGAACAGGCCAAACCTGAGAGCGCTGAGAGCGCTGAGGGCCACGAGGGCCCATGTGGTGACGGAACGCCGGAAACGGCCAAGATCTGGCGGCTCAGGCTCAGCGTGCCTTCTCCTTCCGGGCGGCTGAGCACTGGAGCTTTTCCCGTACCGGATGTGCGCTGAGCGCCCATCATCCGTCCGACCTGATCGGTTATCGACCATCGCATGGCCAGCCCCAAGCAAGGTGCACCTCCCTGTTCTGGACTGCAACAGGCGATCGATCACCACCGTTCAGGGCAACCCTCAGCACCGCCCCCCTCGGTTCTAGACTTTTTGGAGCAGTGGGTCCATTGTTGAGCCCGTGGAGCGAGCGAGCGAGCGATTGAGGAAGTGTGGTGAATGAGAATGACGACGAACGATTGAGCGAACGAGAAAAGAGTGGGAAAAGAGGCGACAGGTCGAATCACACGACTTCAGACGAACAGTCGGCCCATCTCTCTCGCGTCTTGCCTACGCAGGTCCCCAAGGTCCCTCAGGTACCCGCCTGTGTGTCTGGCCGTGTCTGGCTCTCTGGCCGTGTCTGGCTCTCTGGCCGTGTCTGGCTCTCTGGCCGTCCCGTCAGTGTCAGTGAGGAGGCACCCAGAGGCCCCTGCTCTCACCCGCCCCGTGTGCTACGCTAACTGTCCGTTTCACAAGCCAGCGCACCGGGCCACGTTGTCGATATCCTCGACCCCTGACTAAACCGAGCCAAGACTGGTCTTCCCCTCGCACCTTCCCCCATCCTGACTAGCCCTTTCCCTCGGTGGAGACCGTGAAACGGCGGGCGGGCAGGAAGCGAAATGAGCATCCGGCGCCACGGGGGTCCTCCATCCGCTTGGCGGCAGCATCAACCACTGACTGCCCTAAATGCCCTGACGGCCCTGACGGCCCTGACGGCCCTGACTGTTCCTCGCTGAATCACGAACCCTGGCCTCGGCCACACCCACACGCACACACACCCATAATCGGTCGACAACCACTGCAACCCCTGGCGCTTCGGAGAAAAGAAACAGAAAACGACTCAACGGGGCCGCGCGCCAATCCTACTTTGGGCCCATCTCTCTGTCTGCCGTGCTGTCTCATCTCCTCGCAAGCCCTCTTTTCGTCCTGTCTAATTTACCAGCCTGATGGTTTTCACGATCGTTTTGAGGGGACCGCCCAAGCCTTTCACGATCAAGCTAAAAGAGGCATACCATGTAACATCCCAGCGCCGTGCAATGGGACCCTGCCAGCCACCACATGCCATCCCGCGGAACCAGCATCAAGGCCCGCGGCTTGCCAGGGCCAACACGAAGTAAATGGCAAAAGCTTGACCACAGTCAACCTGCCATCTCGACCTTGGACGATGGAGGTGGATCGGGCTGCGAGCCTCAGGCGACGTAGGAGAACGAGAGCTCCATTCCCCGACCTCCCCCTCCACCACGATAGGTACGCTAAAAACAAGGCCCAGAACTTGCTTGCAGCTGCCTTCTTTCGACTTGACCGGGGGGGACGATCCGGCTCAAGTCGATTCCATTGCCGCCCACTCGGCGTACTCGGTACATGTACGTCGCGGCGAAGCCACCACGCGCGACTCGGTGATGGGGCACGCACAAAATTCCTGCTGTTTACCCCCTCCAATCGCCCTTGGGTTTTAGCCGTTCGGCCTTCTCAGCGTCAGGTGAGCTGGAGGGGCGTGAGTGCGCGCGGGCAGGAGAAGCAAAGCCTCTCCTGGCCACGTCATACGCATTCTTCAGGCTACGGACTCCTGCCCAAAGGGGGACACGAGGTTGGATTGATAAAGCAAGCCTGGCTGGACGAAGGGTTACACTCTACTACTGGACTTGGCAGTCATGCTGAGTGCTTATTCATTGCTGTTAACGCCGTTTTTCGGTTTCCTGGCCGGCATCGGGTGGAGACTAGAGAGATCTGTCTGCCCGAAATCCTTCTCGTCGGCTGAAAGCAAAGTCAGTACCTAGTGACACGACACGTAACTCCCGAGTAGTTCTCAACCGTGGCAGTTGGGATCGGCAGCATCTAGGCCAACTGCCAAGACATGGCGTTCGAGAGATTTATTCTCACAGGCTAATCCATCACCTGGAGGTCCGTTGGAGAACAGTTGGCCGGCTGAAAGCCCCAGCAAGGATCTCCACCAGGACCATACTTCTTCGGAGGCTCGGGCGTGTTGTCACCGTCAGAGCCAGTGTTTTTTTTTCTCATATGTCAGTCATTCACATGACAAGCGTGTAACCGAGCCGGCAAACACACATGATCAGCTAGTTGGCTTGACGTTTTGTGTCGACTGCATCCAGCACACACACACACACACACGCACGCATGTGGACTTCTGATAAATGACGCCTCCGTCGCAGGAGGCTCGCCTGTCGAATACCAACCGGTGGCTTGGTTTTCTGCTGGGAGAATGACATGGTGATCTTGCGCCGTTTGCCGGCCAATAGCCAGCCACAGGCTAATCCGACAGAAGCACTGTAACCGTGGCAGGCGGTGGTTGTGTCGCTGAACCGGTGGCTCTCTGGCTAGTCTTGTCGTCTCCATGACGTGGAAGGACTGTACTGGAGCTAGAGGTTGTGGCACACGTTGCTTTTGCTGTTGGCCAGCGAAAGCAGTTGCCGTTCCCCGGTGAGGCTTTTCTAGTCAGGCACCGTTCCAGTTTGGCATTGAGTCTATTGTCACCTGATGACCTGCCCAGCTAACGTTTCTTTCCTGGCACGCCCAAATGTCAAGAATCTGTGGGGGCCATATGGAATGCGCAACCTGCCCATCTACATCGAACATGCGGCTTGAATGCGCCCATTCAGTGAAAGCACTGCTGCAGCTGTCACCAGCTGGCCTTGATTTTACCAAGAAGGGGGCCTCTAGCCAGCTGTCGAGTCTTACATCAACGGAGGACCTATGTACGGACAGGTGGTAAGCTGCTATAGGCACGACACCCAACTCGACCAAGTATTTGAACATCTGGCGCATCACGCACAGCACGGGGCCACTGCCAGCAAACATCTGCGGCACGACGATACCCGACGCCTGGGATGGTCATGACATACAAAACCAGCGGATCCCGGGGACTCGACCTGCGGCCTGCCTTCAATGCACCACGTGTTCCGCCGGATGTGGGACGGGTCGCAGCACAATCGCCGACGCTGAACGGGGCAATCAATCGGCTCGGAAGCCAGGCAAACAAGCCCTGTCTTGGAGGAGGGCGGCTACATCCACTCCGTCTCCGAGAGACTTTCGAGCGGACAGTGTTCGCTGTGAAGATCACGGAGCCTCCTTTTTGGTGCCCAGTTCAGCGACAACAACAAGTGTCGCCAGCGTGATGTGGTCATGGTGCAGCTCAGCGCACGAACGCAGCCCAATCACGCCGTGGCATCTCAACTTGGTTCACGAGCGGCGCATCAATGGCCCGTCTCACTGCCGCCATGACAGTCAATGATCATCCCTCATCCACGTGACGGCCTGTCTCGCCCGTGGCAGGAATGAATTGACGGGGGCTTGGCCTCACAAGGCTGAATTGGATCTTTGGGTGATCACGCAGCGGGCCTCAGAATCGAGACGTATAGCATTCTGCGTGCTAGAAGACGAAGCGGCTGAGACGCGAATGGAAACGGACGCTTCTCTCATATCATACTGTCTGTTCCATAACTCGTTCAAGGCTCGCCAATATGGACTCGACGCAGCCCCAGATGCCGGCACTGCTCCCAATAACGATGGCGGTGCCGCCAGATGATTTTGACTACGGCGCGTTCCTCGATGGGGATATGGAATTCGGCATAAGCGACGAATATCTAAACGCCTCTGGCGCCGACCCAGATTCCGCCCCGAACATGTCTTCATCGTCGGTCGAATTCCGCTCCAGCGACACCGCGGTCGTGTCGTCCCCCCAGAAGAAGCTCGAGAGGAGGGGCCACACCAAGAGCCGCAGAGGATGTTTCAACTGCAAGCGCAGACGCATCAAGGTGCCGAGCCCGATTAGGCTACATCAGCCCGTCTCGATCATGACCACACTGACCATTCGCAGTGCCAAGAGACACAACCAGCCTGCGGTCACTGTCGCAAATCGGGCCTCCAGTGCGAGTATCCCAGTCTGCCCCAAATCACGCACCAGCCCCAGCACAAGATACCCATCTTCACCATGGAGGATATGCGCTTCTTCCAGCACTTCCTGCTGCAGTGCTACCCCCATCATCCTCTCGGCAACGAGAACGTCTGGACGCACGAGGTGCCATGTCTTTCGCAGACGGTACGCCAGCAAGACCTCCCCCCTTCACGAAACGGCACTGGCTAACACGCCGTAGCATCCCTACCTCATGCATGCCATCCTGGGCCTCGCCGCCTGCGAGCTCAGGAAACAGGACCCCTCGGTCCTCCCACAAGCCATGGTCCACCGCACAAAGGCCATCCGCGCCATGAAGAAGTCGATCGCCGGCCTGCCGCGACGCGGCCTGACGCACGAACAGGCCAACGCCCTCATATCCGCCTGCTTCGCCCTGACGTTCCAGTCGGTGCTCCTCGAAGACGGCATGCCCGAGTACATGGCCTTTATCCGCGGCATCGTCGTCGTCGGCATGCAAATGGCCACGCGCCGCATCCGCCCCATCTTCTCCAACATCATGGAAGAGGACGCCAGCGCCCTGATGCAGCCCGTCATGGAGAAGCTCGCCCCGCTGCCGCGCGCGTGGGTCGACGGCGCCGTCGCGGGCATCGAGAACCTGGCGCCCCTCTGCGGGGCGCCCGACTCGACGGCGACCGAGTACCACGCGCGCCTGCTCGACATGGCCGTCACGCTGCGGCGGTCGTCGTGGGAGGGCTACCAGTGCATGAAGGCGCACTACGGGTGGTGGATCATGCTGCCGCACGAGCGGTTCCAGCTGGTCGTCGACCGCGGCAGCCAGGTCATGGTGCTGCTGGCGGCGCACTGGATCGCCCTCAAGCAGATCATGGCCGAGATTACGCTGCACGAGTATGACGTGCGGCAGAAGGCGCCGGCCGACAGGGATCATACGGAGGAGGGCATGCTGCGCTGGCTGCGACACCTGAACGGGCAGGTTGATGCGGCACATGGAAATTACAACGCGTGGCCTGAGTGGGTGGTTCAGCAGCTGGATCGCGACCTGTCGTTCTTTGGCCAAAGGATGTGATCCTTGCTGGCTCATGGGTTTTCTTGTTTACTTTACTGAGCGAGCCTTGCTTCCGTATTGACCGCGACTGTGACATACTTTGCTTGTTTGTATTCTGTGTTTGAATGCCGTCTTCCCGTGAGTCGTGACCCTCCACGCATCCCGTGGGAACGGTTCCAGACACTGCAGTGAGGCCCTCTGTCGATCACAGGGCTACTCCAACACCCTTTCGCGCCGTCTGGGAGACACCGCGTTCGATTGGTTCGTATTCCCCGTATCGTTCCAGAAACACTGCCCCGCCCACACGCGAGCGCCCGATCGACGAAAGCTTGTCTTACCCGTCAGCCAGGGCATGCTACAGGCTGGCTGGAGGCTGTGCTGCCGTATCTCGCGTCCACCATGTTCGGCGGGAGTGGCCCGGGTTCTGCCTTGCCATCATTTGTTGACGGGAAGACAGGGTGATCGCATGACAGATGATGTGTTTCCCGAGGGCTCGATCTCGGTATATAAGAGAGAGGCATTCGTCGCGCGGACTGGGCAGGTATGAAAGGGCTGAATATCACAGCTAACACCTGATCGTTTAAGAGACCAAGCACCCACACGTAAACGTATATAAAGTCAAGCCAAAAACGAACCATTCGTCACAATGTCCACAGCAACAGAGGCACCCCCCCTCTACACGCCAACAGCGAGGCGACCGTCAACCTCCTCAACCCCATCCCTCCCAGCCTATTCCTCTCCCGCCATCGCCCGCCAACAACAACAGCCCTTCACACCGACGACGACCCTCAGGATCATGACCCCAGGCAAGGCAACCATCTCCCTCCCCGGGCCCCCGGCACCGCACCCCATCCCGGTCCACGACGCCGCAGAACCCCCCGGCGCCCCGGCAAAGTACATCTCCCTCCGCGCAACCCGCCGCTCCGGCACCGCGACCCTCGTCCCGGGCCACGACACATCAGCCGCGGTCCTCGCAACAACAAGCTACCGCTTCGGGCCCAGACGGCCGCCGACCCTGACGCTGCACGGCCACGGCGCCCTCTCGTCACGGGAAGCAGCACGCGCCCGAGTCGGACGCCGTGAAGCGGACGCGGAAGCGGCGACGGCCGGGCGCGACTTTGCAACCGAGCTGACGGCCCCCGCGCTCTCGCGGACCACGACCCTCGACACCCCCCTCGGCCGGTTCCGCTGGCGCTACCCTTCGCGCGCCGAGAAGACGGACGGCGACCACGGCCAGGGCGAGGGCCACGACGGCCGCTCGCGCCTCCTGCTCGAGCGCGTCGCGTCGCTCGCCGCGGGCAAGGGTGGACGGGCTGGCGGGGCGGGGCGGATTGTCGGCTGTCTCGTCCGCGGAAGGGGGGCCGCGGCCGGAGAGGGCGGGGACCTGCAGCTCGACCTCGCGGCGGCGGACGAGGCGGTTGCGGAGGCGTTGCTTTCTGCGGGCGGGGCCGGCGCGACGGATGAGAAAGAGCGGGAAAAGGAGAAGATGGCGGCGCGGGACGTGCTCGAGCTTGTGGCTGTCGCGAGCTGTATCGCCATGCTCAAGAGGGAGGTGGACCGGCTGCGACTGAGGCAGGGGCTTGTCCTGGCGGGAGCGGCGGGAGGCTCGTAGATCGGTGTTACTTCGATGGCATGGCTGCTGTTCTGAGTGGGGTCACAAAAGAGCCTAGGTTTCTGGTGCCAACTGTGCAACGAGTACGTGGTGAATATGGCTGATTTGATACTCCTCTGGTTCACTCATGTCAAAGACCCCAGGTTGTGTAAACGCTCGATTTCTGCTATCTCGACGGATCAATCATACACCCAAAGTCACTTACACACAAGTCCTTCTCTTATATACCCTGTTCTACTCAATACCGTGGGCTTGTATCGCGCCCTGTCTATCGCAACTCCTCGCTGAACGGCTGGGTCGCGTTACGACCGTTGTCGTAGTCCCACCTCTCGACGGCGCGTCGGTACTGCAGGCACGAGATCAAATTAGTTGAGTGTAAAGATGAGCAAAGGCCACGGTGGCAGTGGGGTTGACATACCGCAAAGACAAAATTTAGGATCAGCGCACTCATCAGCGCCACGCTGATCACCAGCGGTCCGATCACATTGTCGAAATCCTTACCGCTGCGCTCAATGATCATGCGCCGCCTGACGCCCATCATCCAGTAGCCCCAGCCACCAGCAAACACGGCAATGAGGATGTACATGATGCCCATGACCTCAGCCAGAGTGTTGCGTCCAGCGGCCGAGTACAGGCTGACGGCCAAGCCGCCGAGCAAGATGCAGATGTGCTGCCACTTGAGGAACGTACGCTCGTTGGCCAGCCACACCTTGGGCTCGATCTTGAGCTCGCCAGTGTTCTTGATCCACTCGCTCGGCTCGACGACACCCTCAGGCAGCGGCCTCTCGCGTTCGTGGCGGGCACGGGAGTACCGCGACAGGGAAAAGCTGGGCAAGACGGCCGACAGCGTACCGTAGCCGGTCCTTTGATCGCCGTCCTGCTCCTGCCCCTGCTCCTGCTCTTCGTCATGCTCCCGGCCCTCGCTGGGCTCGCCAGCCTCCTCAACGGTGGGCTCCCTCGGCACGGAACGCGCGAGGCTCGCTTCGGCAGCCATGCGGTCGGCGAGGTACGACTGGCCGGCAGGTGAGCTGCGCGACGCCTTGTACGAGCTCACACGCTTGCCGAGGAAGCTGCCGACGGCGACCTCGTCCTCGGCCCGCTGGGAGCGACGCTTCTCCTCGGCCTCAAAGGCCTTCTGGGGATCCTTGCGGATGTCGCCCTCGAGGTCGCTCAGCCAGAAGGGCAAGTTGTTGACGTAGTCCTCAAAGAGGGAGGCAACGCCATGCACAAACTTGGAAAAGCGTGGAGCCGGGTGCACGAGATGGGAACCCATGAGGTCCTCGATCCACGCAGGTCGTTTCTTGCCGAGGTCGCGAAGCTTGATCTCCAGAACGGCGTAGGGGAAGCGGGAGACCTCGCTCTGGTTGATGTCCTTGAAGGGAAACGACAGGTTGCGGTCGTCAATGTCGAGGCGAAT